TTGTGTCCACCTGTGCTGCATGCCTGTGTTTTAAGCCATCCCATCTTCTTCTTTTGTTTCTTGCAGATTGTCAGATTCTTAATGTGCCAGTCTAGCTGGAGTCTGGACTGGATGCTGGGGTCTCTGTTGACACTGAAATAGTAAAAAAAAATAAAATAATAATGCAAACTCAAGAGCAAAAAAAAAAACCTGCAGAAGCTCAACCACCAAATGTGCTTTTTTATTTTTATTTGTTTTCTTGTTTTTTTTTTTTTTTCTGAATAAGTAGTTATCACATTTGAACAGGAAAGACGGCAAACTGGCAGCCATGTTGACATCATCATCTTGTCTTTAGATATGTTAGCGTACCGGCCTTAGTGATCAATCAAGCTTCCTACGTAGTGTTTTAAATGCAATTTTACTTCCAGGCTTGTATTTATTTCTGTTGAAACATCTCAGTTGAATCGGATGCGTTGAAGCTGTCGTATATAAAAAAGTTGCATATTTTATTATAGAGGTATATTTATGAAACATTTTGTATGTTACTTCACCTTTAATTGGATGTTATCAACCTTTTACGATGTACAATGGTTGTCTGACTGTATGTGACCCTTTTAATAAAAAAAAGAAAAAAGAAAAATGTCATTTTAGATTAGTAATATTTTATTAGTCTAAAATGGTGTGAAAAGTGAGAAGCTTGTCTTCCTGTTCCTTAAAACACAATTAAGAAAGTTCCTCACTGTTAAAGGCATTCCTTGGCAGGTAAACCAACAGTTGGTTCATCTTTATTATCTGCTTTAATGACAGAAACTGAAGAGCTTTCAACTCTTCCCCTTTCTTCACATCCTGTAGGTCTCATAACAACAAGCTTCAGTCTTCTTCAGCCTCTTAGAAAGCATCGCACGTTGCGCAAACAAAATGCACTTGCCAAGAGTCTGGCATTATTTCCCCGCCCACCCCCCCTACGCAACCGAACTGTGCCGCGTGACTGGGTCGGCCAGCAACGCCGCTTTCACGGGACCCTTCAGGCGGGGGCCCTTGGCTCCTTTCAGCTGGAAGGGGGGCCCATCCTCACAAGCAGAGAGGCGTTTGGGATGGAAGTTTACCTCGGAGAAAACTCTTAACGAGCTCCCATGTTTCCATGTACTTTATTTTTTTCCCCCCCATCTTATTTTCTATCCCAATAAACATTGTATATATAAAAAAAGGAGTCCTCAGACCTTTCATGTGGTTTTGTCTCTTTAAATAGTAAGGAGATAAAATAATCTGAGCATCATGTTTCCAGTTTTGTGTCTGAATTCAGATGTTGCAGTGGAACAATGTTTCTCCTCATGCATTTCCACTCATCGTTGATTCTGAAGTGGCATGAAAGGCAGTTTAAGTACTAAAGTACTAAATATGTGGACATCAGTAGTCTTCTTGGTTAAACGTAAATAAATATTCTACTGAGAGTACGGTAATAAGCTATTGTAAATGACTTGCTTTGCAGTAGTGACTGACTGGGAAGAATGAAAACGATGTATTTCAAGGTTCCTGCCCTGTTTGTAAAAAATCATTGAGTTTTCACTTGATTTTTTTTTTTTTTTTTTTTTTATTACAGCTGAAGAAATATTGATGTATATGAAACTTAATAAAACTTAAAAGACTGATTTGTTGGTTTATTTCCAATGTTCAAATCATTTTAGTTTATTTTCTTTTTACTCTCTGAAAATACAAATGCAGAAAAATCTAAATCAAATTTAGGAAAAAAAAAGAAGTCAAAATGTTTTATTTTTTTAAATCTGTAAATCAAAGCATTTCTCCTGTGGTTCTCATTGGATGTTGTGTTAAGTAAAATTCATAATGATTTTTTATTATATTTCCTTATTTTGATTTCTTTTTGGCCAAGATTTCACATTAGGTTCATGGTAAAATATGCTAAAAATGAAAATGTTAAGACCAAAAAAACAAAAAGAATCTTCTGGGTATAACCTTAGTAATCAAATGGTCCAAAATATTTCCACCTCTCAATTTCAAAAGGATACATTTTTAAACCTTTTCTTAAGTCAAAGCGTTTTAAAAAACGTTTTTATTTTATTTTTTTAGCAATAAAGAGTTTTGCATCCTTATACTGAACTTTGTTGGATTCCGTATTTATTCTTGAAATCTGTGATTTTATTGCTGAATGTTTAATTTGTGAAGTAAAATGATACCAGCTTTATCATCTATGGATGATCCTTTAGTGACAGAATTTATTTATTACTAGTATTAAAAACTTGGTATCATTTATAAATTATATATAAAATATCACTTTACCTTTTGAAAATAACCCAGATCAGGGGTGGACTGGGACAAAAAAAACCGGCCCTGGCATTTTGGACTAGACCAGCCCACCACATTTTTTATTATATTAATCAAAGGGTTGGTTGGTTTATCCTATCATCATTACCAGACATCCCAAGTTCCAAAAACTCCTTTCAGGGAGATGCTTATCCCCCAACCGCCCGCCCCCCGGGGACGACGGACCCACACCGTGCCCCATACATACACACTTAAGGCCAGCAACTTTTCAACAACTGTTTATTAGCTAACAGTAATTTCTTAAACACGAAACAGAACAGTATTGGTCTTTTATTTTCAATACTTTCAATCTTGTAGCCTTGAAGATCAGTTTTGCTTTCTGTTTTTCATGGGACTTCAGCATACAGTGCACCTTGCCACTGTTTCATTATTCCCCACCATGGTCGGTTCTAGGGCCAGTGCCCCTGTAGATCACGTCCCGGCCCCTGTTACGGCCCCTGTACTGAAAGCATAATACTTAAAAGAAATTCTAATGATGATATGCGCTGAAACAGACATGATTACTGATAGGTAATCTGGATCTATTTCATTGTTTCCATTACAAATTCTGTTTTACTAATTATTCAAAAACAATAAGGTGATAGCTTCAGTAGGATTGTACGGAAGAGAATTAGGGCCACTGAAAAAAAAAAAAAGTTAACTGATTAAAAAAAAAAAAATTCAGTTTGGTATGGGAAAAAAGTCAGAATTCTGACTT